TTCTACCGGGCCTTATAATAAACTTATAGTCAATATGTCTGTCTCAACAATATTTCTCTTTTCTTCTTTTTAAACAAAAGAATAACAACTTCCACCTCCTGGTTCAAAGTCCTTCCCCCATCGGATGTGGAGACTGCATTCCCACTCCCTTGAATGCAGACTTGTAGACTGCTTTGAACAGTAAAACATGATGCAGGTAAAGCTGTGCCAGTCCCAGACCTAGATTTACTAAGTCTTGAAATACCAGCTCTGCATAACTGCTACCTTCAACTGCCAACTTAACAGAGTCCAAGACCAGGGTGAAGAGGAGGCCCAGGAGAGACACAAAGCCTGCAGAAGGAATGGCAGGTGGAAGCAGATGAAGACCAAGATGAGAACTGTGAGCGTTCAAAAGGTCCTCAGCACCACAGCTCCAAGTCAGGAGGGCATTCTGCAGCCTCAGCCAAAAAAGGAGCAGACAAATCATCCCAAAGCCTCTGACCAAACTCCTAACTCAAAAACAGTAAGAAGAAAGAAGACATGCTACCATGGGTCACTGTGCACAACAGACACAAGGGAAACACAGCTCTGATCTGGGTGTGGAGTTTAATTAAGATACTAAACATCCCACACAGGTCTTCAGCACAGAGCAAAAAGAAGCTGGAAGAAAAAACTGACTGTGGAAACTGAAGGAGCAGTATAAGAACTGCTACAGGAAGCTACCAGTGCAATGTACACTATACACTGGCAGAGTGACTCAAAACTGTCACATGAAGTAACTGAGAAGATTTTCCATTAAATATTCAAAGTGTTAGTAGCTTTTGTGGGGGAGAGGGGTTTCTCTGTGTAGCTTTGGAGCCTGGCCTGGCACTCATTCTGTAGACCAGGCTTGCCTTGAACTCACAGAGATCCGCCTGCCTCTGCCTCCCGAGTGCTGGGATTAAAAGCAAGCACCACCACTGCCACTTATTGGCTTTTTTTATGCGCACATACCAAAAGGTATAAAGGAAAATCATGAGCTTGGTAACCTGTTAGAATTCACAATCAGGGATCAATGAACTGGAAGAACTCATCACTAGCTTCTTTAGATGGCAGAAGACTAATACAGAAAACATCATAGAGGCATGAAGAGATGGTTCAGTGGGCAAAAGTACTCACTGAGCAAGCAGGAAAACCTGAGTTCAAATCCCCAGCACCCATGTCAAGAGTCAGGCACAATTTCATGTACTTGTAACCCTAGCCAAAATGGTGAGCTTCCAATTCAGTGAGAGAGCCTGCCTCGAGGATATAATAAACAGATGCAGAGAGGAAAACAGTATCCTCTCTGGCCTCCTCATGTGCACTGGTGGCATACATGCCTGCACACTCACATGCACACACCACATATACACAAAAAGAAGAAAAACTGGGTAGAAGGAGAAAGAGAGAAGGGGAGGGGAAGCAGGAGGAAGGGATGAAGGGAAAGGAAAGAAGAAAAGGAAAGGATAAAGATAAAAGGAAATGAGGTAGGGAGAACAAACAGCCAGCATGGAGACAAGGACTAAATGCAAAGAAGAGCAGTAAACAGAGTAGAGTTCCTGACCACCAAATGAAGTGCATCTATAAATTTCTTTCTTAAGAGCTGAGGAACACATGTTAGCATAGTCTTTCAGCCTCAAGAGTTTCCTGACAACCATAACTTAGAGTCCAAAGGAGAGAAAAGCCAGCCTCAAAAAGAATCTCAGGTGGCATTTATTCTTAATAGAATACAGTTCTTATTTGATATACAGAAAACCCATAAAGTACTTGATCAGTCTGAACTCAAAACAGTGAGTGAGGCCTGTAGGCTTTCAAACTAACACACAGTGAACCAAAATGAAACTCAGGTACAAAACAGAAATACATACATACATACATACATACATACATACACACACACACACACACACACACACACACACACACACACACCTTTTCTTTTTTCTACTTTTGTTCTTTTTCAATTTTCTGATTTGGAATTGTTTTTAATTTTTCTTTTTGTGGGGAACAGGGTCTCACTCTATTGTCCACACTGGCCTTAAACAATGATCCTCCTGCCTCAAGCCTTATAAATGCTAGGATTATAGACCTGTGCCATGCCAGGCCTGAAAGCCTATTCCACCCAGCCAAACAATTAAAAACAAACAAATGTGGCACCAAAAAAAAAGAAAATCCTAGAGACAGTTTATGCTTCATTTTACCAAACAAATCACCTCCTCTGTGTTGGGCAAAAGAGTGGGCACTGAAGCACATGGCGGAGAGCAAAGCAGATCCTGCCCCTCTCTCCTGTTACTTGTCATCCACGGCACCTTCCACGGGAAGACCCTTTGCAGGCTCTACATCATCATCCTCATCAGTGAAGTGCAAGAGCCACATGTACTGCTGGACAGTAGCAGGGCACGCCTTTAATCCCAGCACTCAGGAAGCAGAGGCAGGGGGATCTCTGTGAGTTCGAGACCAACCTGGTCTACAAAGTGAATTCCAGGACAGCCAGAGCTGTTTCTCAGAGAAACCCTGCCCTTGAAAAACCAAACCAAAACAACAACAACAAAAAAGAATCTCATGTACCTTTACAAAATTCTGAAGAGTGACTTTCAAAGATATTTCCAAATTTAAAGTTTTACAATTATAGCACAAAACGATGATTATCCTAAGACAATGAACTGTCTATTGGCTACCAAGCAAACCAAGAAATATCAACCCCAACAAACATAGTGGTGGTTGTTTTCATTTCCAACTAAAAAAAAATTTTTTTTAAATCTCATCAATTCCAATGTGCAACCTTAATAGGCAACTAGTTAAACATCAGTTTTAGTCCTTAAAAAGACATTGCAACCGCCAATTTTATTTCATTTTAAATAAGAACATGTGAAGCAAGCTTGTTCCTAATTTGAACTAATAAAAAAGAAAGAAATTTTTAATCTTTTTGCTTCGACAAATTATCCCAGACTAAAATAATTCCAAAGACATTAAGATCTGTGTCTTCTCTGAGATTTCTTATATTAATCAATATACCTTTCCATGGCTTTAGCTGTATAAGGCAAATGCATTTCAATACTGTGTTCATCTTCATCTGTCTGCAGAGACATTCGTTCAAACATTCCTGTCTTCCATAGCTCTCCGTAAACTAAAGAGATTTCAAAATATATTAAAACAAATATTAATGCATACATGTATTTCATGAGCTTCCACCCAGCAACACAAAACTATAAGCTATAGCAAGAAGCACCACATACTCCATTTTTATTACAAGTAAAAGATACAACAGCTAATAAAATAATGCATGTAAAAGCTTACCATTTGGACAGTAACATAGCACATTTTTCATCAGTTCCTTTTAATATTTCTAAAATAAACTGAGTCTAGGCCATTCTTTGAATTTTAATATAAATGTTCTAGCCCAAACAGTTTATTAGAATTATTACTATAGCAGAAAAAAATTACCATCTATTTACATATAAGCTTAATAATATCTTTTTTTTTTAGGTTTGCTTTGTTTTTATACTAAATTGTGTGGTTTTATTATTTCACTTCATGTTTCTACCATACCAATAACATAAAATTCTCTTCCAATACTATTTTTCACAAACTTCAAACTGTGGCAGAAATCATAAATCCAGCATGGTATCATGCCAACTTAAAATGATCTAGCTATCTGGATATTTCTGATGAGCTATACTTAAACCTGAAGATTGCAGAGCAAGACATGAAATTTAGTATGTAAAAACAAAATGGAAAAATAACTCAGAGCCTGGTCTGATGGCAAACACCAATAACCCCAGCTATACAGAAGGCTAAAGCAGGATGATCACAGATTCAAGAGCAACCTGGGCTACAGGAGAGTCAAGGTCTGGTTGAGTTGATTTAGCAAAATACTTTCTCCCCACCCCACCCCCCCCAAAAAAAAAACAAAGAAAGAAGAAGAAAAGGGGGAGGGAGGGAGGGAAGGGGGAAGAGGGAAAGAAGAACAGAGAGAAAGAAACAAAAAGCAAAGGGGAAAAAAGGTAGTTAAGACCATTTTTACAAAATACCAAAATTACCCCATGTATTTGCTTGCACCAAACAAAGTGCTTAAAACTAAAGGGTGAGTGGGGCTTGACAGATGGCTCAGTGGTTGAGAGCACTTGTTCTTGCAGAGAACCAAGTCTCAATTCCCAGCACCCACATAGTGTCTCATAACCATCTACAGCTCCTGTTGCAGAGAATCCAAAGCCCTCTTCTGACCTCCTCAGGTACTAGGCAGGCACATAGTGCACAGAGGTGTATGTGAGTAAAACACTCATACCCATTAAATAAATCTTAAAAGAATGAAAAATAAGAAAAAAGGAAAGTGGGTCCCTTAAGTCATCTCAATCAGGAAGGCAATATTCTATTTTGATTAATAATAAATAATAGGTTGTCTATGAGACAACCTCAAATTATAAAAATTAAGGCTTAAAAGAGACCTAAAAGAGCTAACCATTTCTTTTACATTACGCCTCAGTCAATGTAAATTACTGCAAACTTTAACAAAACAATTGCATCCCTGATATACTTAAAATATAATTTAATGAGCTAAAGGATACACTCCCAAATTCATGAAAGGTGGTTATTATGCAGAGAGACAGAAGGGAAAATTTAATGTAAACTGTGAATAATGAATACATCAATATATTTATTGTTCTACTCTGGGTACTGTTTTGTACATTTTTATATTACATATATTGTATAAACAACTAAACAAAAACATGACATCTGGCAACTGGGAAGATGACTGCTCAGTAGATCAAATGTTTCTCAAGAAATGTTTCACAAATCCACCCAAGAAAGCTGACATGGTGGTGTTCACTTAGGATCCCACAAGAAAGACAGGATGATCCCTACGGCTCCTTGGCCGGCCAGCCAGCCTAGTCTTCTAGGGGAGTTCCAGGCCAATGAGACATAGTCTCAAAAGAAAAAAAAAATAGACAGCACAGAAAAAGGAACATACAGAACACAAACACGAAATATGCACT